ACGTAGTCGTCGCGCGACCACCGGATGGCGTCCTCGTCGGAGAAGCCGCGCCGGGCTATCTCCTCGTACTCCGGGGGGAGGCTGGACTCCACCTTGGGCTCGACGAGGGCGCCGGAGCTGCGGGTACGCGCGCTGACAGGCGTGTCCTGGGGCTCCGGCTTGACGGGACGGAGGTGGAGGCAGGGAGAGCCGCTGGAGCTGCGGGTACGCGCGCTGACAGGCGTGTCCTGGGGCTCCGGCTTGACGCGGCGGAGGCGGAGGCAGGGAAAGCCGCTGGAGCTGCGGGTACGCGCGCTGACAGGCGTGTCCTGGGGCTCCGGCTTGACGGGGCGGAGGCGGAGGCAGGGAGAGCCGCCGGACGAGGAGGAGGACGCCCCGGTCTCCATGCGCCTCGGCGTCCAGGAGCTTCCCCGGCGGCGTGAGAAGGACGGGGGAGCGGGATACTCGAGGCGCGGCGTGTTGCCGCCCTCGATGTACTCGAGGACGGCCTCCAACGTGCGGCCGGGCACGCCCCACCATCGGCGCCGGCCATCGGAGTTGAGCCTGCCGGAGGGCACGACGCCGTTGGTGGCCTCGAGCTGCTCGGCGTGACGGCGGCGGAAGTAGGGCTCCCAGAGCGGGCTGTCGGGGGAGGTACCGTGGCCCCTCCCTCGCCGCCCGCGGCAGGGACGCGCGGATGCGTGCGATCTCCGCACGCCGCGTCGCCCCGGTGGGTGGTGGTGGCACCAGCACGCCGCCGGCGCTGATCCTCCAAGCCCCGGGCACCCGCATGTCCGGCGGGACCGGGTACTCGGCCTCGAAAAGGAGGCGAGCCTCGTCCTCATGCAGATGACGGCGCCCGAATCCGTTCGCCGCCGCGCCGTCGTCTGGGAAACGCTCGGCCATGCTTTCTCAACTGGTGACGGCAAGAGGAGGAAAGGGAAAGAAATGAGCGCGTCGTCGGTGGATGATCGGGGCGAACCTCTCCGGCGCGTTTGCAGTCGGCTTTTATAGGCGGAGGCGCCGCGTGGTAGGCTTGGCCGGCGCGTTACGCGTGGCGTGATTGCGTGGCGGCCGAGGGACGCGCCGTCTAGCCTTCACTGCGCCGCCCGTGAGGCATCAATAGAGGCTGATCGGCGCGGCAGCTTTGGCATTGATTCGCCGCGGGAAACGAGGCGATGATGACGACGAAGGGGCGAGAAGAGGGTAGAGTCGCTGACGCGGTGGGCCTGCGGCTCTTTGCGCCAAAAACGATTCGCCCGGCGCCCCCGAGCGACCCCCAGCGCGCCAGGTTCGGGTTGGGTCCGCCGGCGCCAATTTCAGCCCGAGCCGACGAAAACGGGGCTTTTGGGGCGCGACTGGACCGATTTTTTAGCGCCGGCGGACGAAAAAACGCCTGGGAGGCCTTCTTGGGGTCGCGGCTAAAGATGCCCTGAGGCACCTACTCCTGTGGTAAGTCCCATCGCTGTCTTTGTTTTTGTGCTAGTGCTCCTTGTCCTCTCCACTCCCCTGCTGGAGGATTGATCGATGGCTTTGGTGGGCCCCGGACAGAACAAAAGCCAAAGCAAAGAATCCTTGGAAGCGAGGAAAAAGCCCAGCTAATAAAGATTAAGTGGAGCAAAAGAATGCACTAAGCAAGGGAAAATCTAAGAAATTTACCAAGAAGCAACAGAAAATGGACGTCACACTCGGCTCACACAGTACTACTCCTACAACCGAAGCACAGCTCTTCATCAGATTACCATGGCGGAGCATTTCTTTGTACTCCTTTCGTAATATATTCTTCGATTCTATGCTTTCTGCTGTATTATTTGTAAATATGTTATGCTCTGATCATATATTGATGAAACAATGATGCTTAGTGCAGACAAACGGAGCGGAGAAAGAAGCGCTGGAATTGGATAAGCTCGGAGACAAACAATAAAGCGGAAAAGGCACCCGACGCAACCAACTACTACCACTGCACTGCACTCCATTGGACTGCCCCACTCGACACCCCCGTGCTCCACCCTCATCACCCTCCCCGACCCTTTCCAGAACCACCTTCCTCACAGTGCCGCCCTCACTCACTCTGTCACTCACCCCCGCTCCTGCCTTTATAGCTCGCTTGCACTCCACCACCTCACGGTCACAGCTCACAACACACCCACCGCCGCCGCTGCCTCAACGTCCCCTTCCCGGAGCAGCAGCCAGCCAGAGAGCAAGCGAGAGAGAGAGAGGGCAATGGAGGGGAAGGAGGAGGACGTGCGGCTGGGCGCCAACAGGTACTCGGAGCGGCAGCCCATCGGGACGGCGGCGCAGGGCGGCGGCGACGACAAGGACTACAAGGAGCCGCCCCCGGCTCCCCTATTCGAGCCCGGGGAACTCAAGTCCTGGTCCTTCTACCGCGCGGGCATCGCCGAGTTCATCGCCACCTTCCTCTTCCTCTACGTCACCGTGCTCACCGTCATGGGCGTCTCCAGGTCCCCCTCCAAGTGCGCCACCGTCGGCATCCAGGGCATCGCCTGGTCCTTCGGCGGCATGATCTTCGCGCTCGTCTACTGCACCGCCGGCATCTCAGGTCTCCCTCCACAGCCTTCTCTTTCTCTCTCTCTCTCTCTCTCTCTCTCTCTCTCTCTCTCCCCTCTTCTTGGCTTGCTACATACGTACTCCTGGCTGTTTGTTGCTTCACAGGAGCTGAAGCAGCTGTCAGTTAGTACTGTGCCTTTTTGTTGTTATTGTACGCAACGCATCTAGATTCTAGAGTGTTTTGTCTTCCAAAAAGTGAAATAGGTTGCGTGTCCAACCTACAATAATCCCTCCTCTCCCTTCACTTTATTAAACAGTTGTAAAAACATTTTTCTTTAATTATGGAGTTCCATTTTACTTAAAAGAAATTTATGGAGTTCCATCATGACTGCGTTATATCATCAAGATGAACATACATATGATCTTTCTTTCAAAAATTCATAAATTTAAAATTAAAGTAATAAGGTAAGATAGAGAATTTAGGGTCCCTACGCGGCCATGTGCACAAAATCTGTGTCTTTGTTTTGTAGTAGCAGCCATAGTTTTAGACATTTCATCGGCAAACTGTACTGCTGCAGTATGTAAACCCAGTTTTATTTTGCAAAGGCACAATTCACAACTAAAGGATGCTACCAGAGCTCATCTTTTGATGCAGCGCTTCTGTAATGTCCAAATCTAGATATTCAAACCTCAAAAGGTCAAAGGTGCACATGAAAAGCACCATTTTTATTACTCGATCTGATTCGGTTTCGCTTGGAGACGAGTGACCAATATGCAGTAATATTTCATAAAATTCGCTTGCTGAAACTCTGCTACGGCCAACACATTATTTAGTAGTCATTAAACCACTTTTATTGTCAAATTGTACAATGTCTCTCAGTAAATGTTGTGGTCCAGTTCTCACTACTTACTGCTCCTGAATCTAGATTCTGCCTGGTTAATCTCAAAATATCAAATTGTCAGAGAACAAATATGATGTAACAATAAAAGCACTACCAGAGTCGTGGACACTGCTAATCTCTATTGTGATACAATGACAGGAGGACACATCAACCCAGCGGTGACTTTTGGGCTGTTCTTAGCCAGGAAGCTGTCCCTGACCAGGGCCATCTTCTACATAATTATGCAATGCCTAGGGGCCATCTGTGGAGCTGGAGTGGTGAAGGGCTTCCAGCAGGGTCTGTACATGGGCAACGGTGGCGGCGCCAATGTAGTCGCCAGTGGCTACACCAAGGGCGATGGCCTTGGCGCTGAGATCATTGGCACCTTCGTCTTGGTCTACACCGTTTTCTCTGCTACTGATGCCAAGAGGAATGCCAGAGACTCCCATGTTCCTGTAAGTACTCTACACTTCTACTCCACCAGTTCTGTTTTATATGTGATGCTACATGCTAGCAATGCCTTAGTTATTAGCTGGGTAGTTTGTACTGAATAGCAATGAACTGATGTGCTGATGTGATTACAATGAACTGACGCGCTTGTAACTTACATTCTCTGGTTCATCTTGCTTGCTCCAGTGAATTGTGTGTCTAGTCATCTCATTATGATTTTTCTAAGTGTTTTGGTACATATCGTAACATTTTTCCATCCGTTGCTTGTGAAAACAGATCCTGGCCCCTCTGCCGATTGGGTTCGCGGTGTTCCTGGTCCACCTGGCCACCATCCCCATCACTGGCACCGGCATCAACCCAGCGAGGAGCCTTGGCGCTGCCATCATCTACAACAGGGACCATGCCTGGAATGACCATGTGAGTGAAACCCCACTCTCACCTACTTGCCCTTTTCAGCAAATAGTTCCACTAACAATGAAACTGCCTCCAGACGAACATATCAAATGCAATCGGCACTTCCATGCCATGGTGGGGCATATTAGTTGATAGTTAGTGCACAATGTTCTGGGTAGTCTGAGCTCATCAGGTGTTGCATGTAACCAACCACAATTAATCATAGAATTAACAACCTCAATGATGCTAACATAGTGGCACGTTATCGTTTAATAAGTAAGCTATGGGATATGGTGTAGCAACTCAATCTGTTTTCTCATGCCTCACCTATCAATACCAGAGGCTATATATACCTGAAAAACTTCATTCCTAAGCTAGTTTGATTTTGCAGTGGATCTTCTGGGTGGGCCCCTTCGTGGGCGCTGCCCTGGCGGCCGTGTACCACCAGGTGATCATCAGAGCAATTCCCTTCAACAAGAGCAGGTCCTAAGCCGCCTCGCCTCCGCTACCAAAAGCTGATCCGAAATAACGAGCTTCTTTGTGATGTCTTGTTTCAAGCGCCTAGTATCGCATCCGCCGTCGATTCTCCTGAAGATGTTCTCTCCTGACTGAATCCAGACTTGTGTGTGTTAAGACTCCGGTGTGACAGTTGTGTGTGTTCTCATTGTGGAAGATTTAATAAGTTATAATTTGTTGCTGTAGTTTCCCTATAGCTGCTCCCGTGTTTGTGTCTGGAATGTTGACAACGATGCTAATATAAGATTGTCCTAGCTGATAGTTAACCTAAACTAAAGCAAGGAAAACAGAAATTACCGAGATCCTAAGCCACCGAAACTAGATGAAAACAGTAAGAAGGTTTTGCTCTGAATCGAGTGATGCTATGGCCTATGGCCAATGAGAGAAATGAACCCCCACTGGCCAACTCTTCGGAAACAGATGATTGAGATCAGCACGCCCGAGGTTTGCGGGTTGGAGAAGTTTTCTCCGTTTCATTTGAATCCGCGAGGGCTGCAACGAACGGTAGTGGTGGTTGTTGGAGCTGTTGCTTTGGTGGATGGTGGGGACAAGTATGAAGATGGAGATGAGGATGGTTGATTGACGGTGTAAAGGCCGGCCGGCCGATAGTGCGCGCTCGACCTCTACGCCACGGCACATGGCTTGTCCCTGTCCGTTCAACGTCTGAATTCCAAAGGCGCCAAAACACCCTTTCGGAAGCCAAGGTCTAGCGCGTAGGCGGCTAGAGCATCCCCACTGAGGTGAAACTGGGAAGAGAATGCCATGCCTCAGAATTGTGCCAGTCTGGGCCAAAATTGTTGGTTGCCTCTCGGAGCATTCCACTTCATGTCAAATGAGGTTCAAACTGCTGAAGTTGCTTGTGCCTGAGCATGGTTCCTCCAGGCTCCAGTGTGAGGCGGGGCATCTTTCTCCTTGTATTTCTGATGTACTCCCTCTGTGTTAGTTAGGAAGAATGAGATTGCACGAATCGATAATTATTGATTGTGAGCATGGTGCACATATATAGGTACAGGGTGGATCGGCCTCTACTTG